GAAATACACTGCTGAGGGGAGCAGCAGGCGGCAGGAGAGGTCTGCGCGCCATGTGGGACCCTCCTCTGGTGGCCGGGGAGCAGCCGGGATCGAACCAGCGCCGCAGAGGCTGCGGGCAGCTTCGCAACCCAGCGCTCAACCGCTGCGCCACCGGGGAGGCCCCACTAGTTACTTTTAGAATTAAAATATCAATGCTGAGACTAACTGATCTATCATCAGTAACAGACTGATGGGCAGCCCAGTCCTGGGGCTTTTTCAGATTATAGACCTTTGCAGTCAGGAACCAGAAAGAGGGCCGCCTTTGCTCTGTCAACACACCACATGGAGTTTAAAGATATTTTAGAGGCAAGGTAAGGAATGTCTGCTGCAAATGACACATTTCTAACTTCAGCTCTTAAATGTGAACTATGTTAGAAATTTCCAATCCCACTTCAACTTCACCATACAACACTGAGCTCCTGAACACATAAAGAGCAAGGGCACAGGCCTAACTCCCAAGAGCCTCCCTCTAAGATCCATGCAAATGAAATTTCATAACTTCCTGCACATTTCAAGGGCCTTCACATGCCACACATCATCTACTATTGCACTGAGCAAACTGTAAGGTGAACAAGACCTGTGCCACAAATAGTAAAACTAACTCCGGCCACAGAACTGGATTTATAATTTTAAGGTTTGAATTTCAGAAACAGTCTAAAAGAGTAACCATGATTGATTTTTGACTGCCTCGACTGGACCATCACGGATTATAAGATTATAGTCATTTGGCACTCAGGTCTCAGAAACCACAAGGGTCCTCAAGTAGGCTGGTACCTTCACAATTACTGCTAAATTACTACAGTTACTACTAAAATGTACTCACTATGAGTTTATGATATTCCAGGCATACACTGGGGGCGCTTACATCACCTCAGCTAACCCTCCCACAAGAGCATAAGTACTGTCATTATTATGCCACGCTCCTTAGGTCAAGTGTAAGCAATCAGAGCAAGGGTGATAAACGAGGGCTCAAAGCTGACAACTCAGTTGCCTGTTTCTTCTCCGGTGTCATGCTCAGCGTCTGCACTTCAACAATAGTAATCCAAAGTCCTGGGCTAGAAAGCCCGACTCCCCGACGGCAGCTAGGGGCTGACCCTGCCTCCCTGATGTGGTAAGCTGTGCCGCGTGACTCTCGACTATTCTCAAGCTCAGAGCAGAAAAAGGCAGAGACCATGAAGACTTACTCTATCTGTACAAACAAAACTATATTAAAAGAGAAAGGGTCTCTCTGCAAGCAATACAGCATAACTGCGGGTCTGTTAAACTTGTTCTCTGATAACAATAAATTCTAAAAGCAACAAATTCAGACCATCTCTACTAAAAACTATTCAGTGGGACCTGTGGCTGTTTTGGAAATAACCAGGCATAATAAAAGTTCTCTTGCAAGCTTCTATACAAGTGAAAAATTGCAAAATCCTTTGCAGCATCAGTAAATATCAACTTGTAAAAGAAATACATCAATTCAGAAGTAACTCTAATTTACTCTTTACATGCTACTTTACATTGGCCAAAATTCAAAATTCCAGAATCACTTCAATTTACCCTTGAATCATAAGACCAAATCACAGTGGTCAGTCCTCCTGCATTCATAGGAAATTGATGAGAAAAGGGGAGAACCTTCCAAGCACCCTTCCTCTCACTGCCCTCCACTCCTGCACCTGCAGAGTCAAGCTTCTGAGAGCTGGCACAGGGGAGCACCCTGGGGCTGATCAATACCTCCCCGCTGGCTCAGTGTGCCTGCAACACCTGCAATACTAGAGTGAGGGGAGAGGGAGCAGGCAGAGAGTCGGAATGCCGTGAGTGGATTTTCCTTCTCGGTGCCTCCTCTATACCCTCCCAACAGTCTCATCCTGCAGAATCATACTCGTCTGTGAGGGGAAAGGCGGAGAGGAAGAAACGGAATGCCTCGGCACACCAGAGAAATCAGCCAAAGGGGAACACACAGTCTGCACTTGCAGATCTCAACACAGGTTAGATGTCACAGGCCTCTTGGCAAAGTTAGAGAGGCGGGATTTGAGCTTACCTGGCTGCTGAAGGAGTCTTTCTTGGCCGAGCTCTGAATCTGAGGGGGCCCCTGAGCAGGTGACAACCTTGAAGGGCTCTTCTTACTCTGCGGCAGCAGCGAGGACAGGAAGCCCCCACGAGGTGACTGAGAGAGGGAGGTGTTCCTCTGGTTGCACACCATGGCTCTGGTCAGAGAGACACACCACAAGGTCACAAGGTGGAAGGGACGCGGAAGAATCCGGAACACAGACCTCCTGAGCTATAACCGATGCCAGGGACCCAGCTGTAGCGGGGTTCACAGGCCTGGGCATTAAGGTAGTATCACCTTAATGTATCAGTATCAGTACCATTTCTCCTACCAAAGGGAGCCAGCAGACTAGCTGGCACAGAGGTGGGTTCGAAGGCTGTGGTCACACTCAGAGCTGTGCTGGGCACTGGCCACTAGCAACCCATGGTGATGAGCGCTGAAATGGGATCAGTCCAAATCCAGATGTGTGGATGAGGAAAATACACACGGGAATTCAAGCATCAGCATGAAAAAGTATAACTGTCCCGTTAATACTTTGTTTCTATTCCTTACATGTTGAGAGGACATTTGGGATATATCAGGCCAAATAAAATATATCATTAAAATTAAGTTTTTTCTTTCCTTTTACTTTTTTCTAATATAGTTATTAAAAATCTTTAAATTACAATCATGGTTGTGCCTTTTGCCTGAACAAAAACCCCAGTGGATGTCACAAGCTCAGATGCCAGAACAGCTTCCGCAGACACAGCCTCTGGCTGCGTGCAGGTGTGGAATCTCACCACTGGGTCTGCATCCTGACAACCTGATCATCCACCACAACTTGTCGCTGGCTCTGTTCCTTCAACTGCTACTGTTCCCATTAGCACCTGGGTTTTCTGCTTGAACTGGCTATTTTGAAGGTCACTCAAATAACTCCCCATTCTGCTTGCTTCCACAAACCCTCACGCTGGAGTGTGTTTCTGTGGCTGAACACATCCAACCTGCAGCGGCCAATCCTTTCATCCAGGAGGTGCGCCCTTCAAAGTTCAAAAACCACCCACGGCTGCACAACAGCAGCTGTTGGTTTATTCAGGTTGTGCACATCTTGGACATGCAGGCCCTGGCAGAGTGGTGCAGCTCTCCCTCCCTCTGGGCAGGCTCGAAGGCCGGGCACTGGGGGGGAACTTCTAGAGGATGTTCCAGGCCAGGGGCCCGTACTCACAGAGCTCAGAAGCAAGGGCAGCGAGTGCCAGGATCTGGCAATTCTGCATCACCAGGTGCAGAGGGCACAGCGAGATGCCCCTAGATGGGAGCTCAGGGGACAGAGGAGAGCAGGGAGCTTGGTCGTCCCGGCCACACAATGCAGGGCACACTCACAGTTCCGAGTCCCCAAAACGGTCCATGTTGGAGACATACGGAGGCAATTTGTGTTGGACCAAGGCCTCTTCCTCTTCTGGCTGTTGCTCCTCTTTCTTTAGTCGGTGGATTTCGGCTTGCAATGCAAAAAGCTACATAAGAGGGTGGGGCCGAGTTAGACTGTGATCTCACCTTATCTTCCTTCCACTGGGGAAGATTGGACACACGCAAAGCCCTTCTCTGGCTCAAAAGACCCCTGGCCCTCCACCTCAGCATGCTCTTCTCACTCTGCCCAGAGAGAGTTAGATCAGATGGGAATAATGGGCAAGTGGTCGCCGTGACTTGAACTTAATGTGTGAAACCAAAAACCATCAGAAATACAAAAGCCATTTTTTTTTTTTAAATCATTTGACTTGCTTCCTTTTTATCATTTGACTGACTTCTTCCCGAATTCACGGAGAAAGAGTCCCACCCCATCCTGCTTTACAAGGGCTTGGGAACTCCTGGAAAAAAACTGAAGTTCAGAATTTTAACCTTTTGCCTGAACAAAACCCAAGAATCTGAAACTCCCAAGCCAAAAGAGCTTTTACTCTTCCTTGTGCTGAACATGTAATCTACAGATCTCTTCATTTCTAGGGCAGAGAAATGCTCCTCAGGCAAAAAGCAAAGGGAAACATGGTTCCCTGGCTATCATTTTACTGAACGAGAGAAACACTGAACTGAGCAGAATTAAACCCGCAACACAGACGACGAGACGTGTGGAAAAGGCCTGGGGCAGCGACACGGCGCATGGATAGTCTTTCTCCTCTTACAAGTTCATCACTGCTCGATGTCGCTCGCCGTGCACAGCTTGACATTCAAACTGTGCCTCTGGTTTCCAGAGATCATGCAGCCCCCAAGTCCTTCCCGACACCGGCTTTCTGGTGACTCACTTTCATCTGAGATCACTGCTTTCCTATATTTAATCAGCCCCCTGCTGCCACTACCTAATTTCATACACAAAAAGCAGAAGTCCTTCCCAAGGAGGAGCAAGTGTGTTCAGAACCAACCTTCTGGCGCAGAACCTCATTTTCTTCTTGGACCTGGTTGGTCCGCTGGCACTCCGCGTCGAAGTTCAGGATCACGGGAACTGGTACACCAAGTTAAAGAATAAGCCTGCTTGCGAAACCATTAAAGCCCTTCTCAAACTCTTGACACACTAGCACAGCCCTTGAATGTGAGTCACAGGGAGTGGAGGACAGGCTGGGTGCTGTGGGCTCTTTAAGTGAGAGCTACATTCAGCAAACTCAGCACAGAGGCCAGTGGCTCCGTAAATGCACTGCCAACTGCTCTACCAGCTGCACAGACACGCCGGCCATGCCGCTTTGCCCTCTGCAGATGGAAAGGTTTAGACTGCAGAGAGGTTTCTGCAGACTGCATGATGGAGAAGCAATCCACCTTCAAGGTTAGAGTATCAGTCTTCCCCAATCACCTCAAACAGCTTTTGTCAGGAGGAACACAAAGCAGGGAGGGCCTGGGCACTGAGGAAAGAACTGGAGCTCCAATGTGCTGGTCCTAGTTTGAGGGGCACTGTCAGGCACTGAACAGATCTTAAGCGACATTTCTCGGCTCCCTAGAGGGCCCACATGTCCTAAGCACCTCTGGGCTGAACCCCTGGCTAGTTTCCTTTGAGAGCACTCAGGATGAAGAGCGAAAGGAAAGGGCACCCTTCTTGCCTCCACTAGAAGCTGCTCCTCCCGGAGGCCAAAAGGGCCGGTGGGTGGGGCTCTAGCAGGCCCACATTATCAATGCCTCACCAGGCAGCCCCCTTCCAACAGAACTCCCTTCTCCCTGAGAATGCAGGTCTGGAGAGCATGAGCAGCGGAGGATGGCCCAGCCTGGGATGGTAGGCTTTCTGTGAGAAAATAGTAGATTTACATTCTTTCTCTCTCAAATATCCACCTGTGTGTTCTTAAAGCTGCTGTTTCCTGGCAAATTGAGAAAAACTGACATCACTGCCAGAGAAAGCCACCCAAACATTGTCACACGCAGAAGGTTCCAGCCTGGGATGTGTCCTCATTTACCACCTCTACCCAACAAAGGCAAGTGCTATCCAGGAAAACAGAGCCTGCAGAGACGGTGCTTCCCAAGGCTGGCAGGCTGCACTAAGCAGCAGCTGCCTTTCAACCCCTGTATTTGCTGAGAGAAGCCCTTCACCCTATTTGAGGGCTCCTCTCAAAAATGGCACTAGCACCCCACCTCTACTATAGTCTCTGCCCAGGCATTCAGCTATTACTTCAGCATTGAGCATCAGAGCCGAGATTTATGATTCCCTGGCCCAGTGACAAAAATAACCAGAATCTTTCCAGCCCCTTCACATGATACATGACAACAGTCCCAGGGGATTTTGTAGACGAAATGGCTGCATCCCCATCAGGGCAGCCACCACTGATCACACTGGTGGCTTCAGATTGGGCCTACAGCTCCAGGCAGCAAAAAGGATATGCATACACTGAAATAGGACGCTCAGGAAGTTGTGCAGGGACACAATGAAGGTGTCAGCCCACTGTCGAGAAAAGTAGGTAGCAAAGGTGGGGTTGGTGTCTGGGGATGGCAAGAAGGGCAAGGCAAACCAATCCTTCCATTCAGCCTGGTTCTGGAGCTCCGTGGCCTGCTTTGCAAAGAACTCCTGAGCCTTGTCGTTTCTGTTTGTCTGCCAAGCAAGGAGGAAAAGACAGAAGTCTAGAGGGAAGATTCTTGTCACTGCACTGTAGAGGCTTTGAATGGCTACAAACTCCATAAAACAAAGGAAACCACTCTTTCTCAAGTTTCCTTACAACTTCAAAGCTACTTTAAATTGAAGTCCTGATGAGAAATGCCCTCCTAAAAATTAATTCCTAGTTGATTTTCAAATCATCTAAGTGCTTTATACTCCCAGTTTAGCTATCAAATTTATTACTCAAACCTTAATCAGCGTCTTATGTTCTCTGAAACACTACCCAGGCTTATGTTCTTAAAACGAGAGGAAATAGGAATGAGGAAGACAAGTCAGATGATCTAGAGATGAAAGGAAAAAAATGTAGGAAAAGAGTCAACACGAACTTGCACTGTGACTGTTACACCCTTTTCCAGAGTAACACAGGGTCCTCCTTAGGGGTTAAAAAGAAATCTATTTCTAGAGCAAAGAACTCTCTCCACTGAGAAAGCAGACCCTGGGCCAACAAGCACCTGGATTGTGTAGACGAGATAAAAGCGGAACAAGCTGGTTTTCAGTTTGTTGATGGTGGGTCTATATATATCCTCCAAGCGGCTGAAGAGCCGCCGCTCTAAGTAGCTCCAATAATCCCGAAGGGCAGCCAAGTCATACACCTGCATTAACTGCTGCAGCTGGTCCACAATCTTGTCCACCTGGTGAGAGAAAGCTGGGATGGAGAAGGTGGGAAAGACAGAAGGGAATTCTCCCCTCATTGCAGAGTTAACACCGCTTTGACCTCTTATTGTGCCTTCTGGATATTCTTTTTTTTTTTTTTAAGTTAGCAATCTACAAACCTTCCTAAACACACTGGCATGACAGCTTGTAAGTTAGTTTCTGGCGTTAGCCCTGTGATTTGGCCCTCTAGTAAGCACGGAGATTTCAGGCATGAAAGCACTCAGGCCCAAGAAGCAGATGAGTAGAGGTCTTGGATTTGCCTCTGACTTATTCTACCAACGTGGCAATGTCACGTCAACTCTTTGGTGTCAGCTGCCTAATATTTTAAAAAATAATAAAAGAGGGCCTCCCTGGTGACGCAAAGGGTTAAGCACCGCACTATGAAGCAATCCGCAGCCTCTGCAGCACGAGTTCAATCCCAGGCTGGCCAGGGAGCTACCCACATGGCACAGCAGACTTCTCCTGTCTCACCCGCTACTCCCCTCAGCAGTGTATTTCAGTCAGTCTGGCTGTTCTGCTCCCCACTGTTTCTGGTGAATCCTCTCACCTCCCCCCATCTCTGTCCTGCCCCCCAGCTCTTGTATGCATAAATAAATCTTTAAAATAATAATAATAATAAAAGAGTCAGACAATTTCCACTGTCCTCCCACTGGTGGACCCCCACCAGTCCAGGATTCTGAGACTTTGCATGAGAGACACTGACTCCTTCAAGTCACCAGAGTGCCACCAAAGCCCTGGGAGCAGCTCAGGGTGTCAAAGAAGTCACCTCCCAATGACAGAGCACACAGTCTCAAAAAGGTTTTGGGTACTAGTAACAATCCAGTATCCCCCCTTTAAAAAAAAAAGATTTATTTATTTATTTATACAAGCACCGGGTACAGTCAGAAGCGCGGGAGGGTGAGAGAATTCACCAGAGCCAGAGCAGGCAGAAGGACCGAAGCACACTGCTGAGGGGAGCAGCGGGCGGCAGGAGAGGTCTGCGCGCCACGTGGGACCCTCCCCTGGCAGCCGGGTATCAAACCCGGCACTGCAGAGGCTGCGGGCAGCTTCGCAGCCCAGCGCTCAACCGCTGCTCCACCGGGGAGGTCCCAATATTCCCTTTTTTATACACCAGGACACTGAGGTTTGGAGAGCTGAAATGATTCGCTTTTGCCTCTACGAAGCCACTAACTTTAGCAAGACAAGAACTCAGGCCTCCTGACTCCCCTCCAGGGCGCTGGCTGCTAGTTCCCTGCCTTCGTCCATTCGAGCGTGGATACCAACTGAAGTCAGCAAACACACCTGCAAGTTCCAAGAACTTCTCAAGGGAAGATCACGTCTAAGTAGGGGCTGTTTAATGAATTAAAACAGGCAGTAAGTGCTTGTCCAATTAAGAAAAAAACAATCATCGAAAACAAACACTGTAGAGAAAAAAACGAGACGACCACACACAGAATTAATGGTTCTAAAATGGGCAACAAGAAGGTCTCTCCCCACTGCAGAAAATCGCCTGAGTCGCTGCCCAAGCCATTTCAGACAAACCCTAGAGACACGGGAACCCAGCGAGCACTTTGGGCTGCGGTCCCCTTCGCTCCCGGGGCCACGGGACGCCGACTCGGAAATATCTGGTGCCAAAACTCAACCATCCACCAACCCTCAGCACCTAAAACCCACCGCCATCTTGGCCAACGACCTGCCAGCACCTGGCGGGGGCTGAGGCGGGGGGGCGGGGGGGTCGGGGAGCGGGGCCCCGGCGCCTGGGCACCCCGGCTCCAGCCCCGGCCATTCTCCTGACTCAGCAGGTAACTTGGGGCGCGGCAGGGCCCCCTCGGGGCCGCGCAGATGCCGCCGGCCCCAGGGCGCGCTGACAGCGCCGCGCCCGCCCCGGGGGGCAGGGCTGAGGAGATCCGCCTCGGGCTCCCCGGGGCCGCCTCCGGCCGCGCCGCGCCCGCCGGCGCTCACCCGGAACCCCTTCTCCTTGTCCGCCTTGATCTCGGCGTCCAGCTGCCGCAGTGTGTGCGTGAAGCCGCGGAAGAGCAGGTACTCGCGGACCAGCTCGTCAGTGCGCTCCACGGCCTCCGCCATCGCTGCGCCAGCGCCGCGTCCGCGCGCGGCCGAGGGCGGGGGGCGGGGCCTGGCCGCGCGGGGAGGGCCAGGCGCGGGCGCTGATTGCGTCACGCCGCGGCCCGCCTACCGGCCCTCACGCGCTCAGGCCCGTGGCCCCGCCCTCGCCCCGCCCAGGCTCCGCCCCGCCCAGGCCCCGCCCCGCTGACGCGGTCGTCGACCAGCGCCTGGAAGCCCCCGAGCTCGCTGAGTTTTCCTGCGCGGCTGCGTCATCTGACTGCGGCTGCCGTCTTGGTCAGCTGGGGCTGGACCTTGGAAATATTCCAGATTATCACGAGGCGGGCGGGGGCGGAGGTGCCAACCCGCGTTCTGTCAATGGGGGAAAGGCACGCTGGCAGCTAAGGCGACGCTTGTGAAGTCACACAGCCCGGGGTGTCCTCAGAAAGCTCTGGCTCCCCAAAAACCCCTGCACCGCTGAGAGAAGAAAGGATAGGGGGGTGGGAATTGTATGGGGAATATAACCAAGATGAAAATGCATGCATTGTGCAAAAATGAAAGATGCTGTAAAAAATATATAAAATAAAAAAATTTAATCATAAAATAAATTATATAAACAAAAACAGAGAGAGAAGAAAAGGAAGTTTCCAAATAATATGGTCCCAGTCCCTTGTAAAAAAGTTTGCAAGTTTGTGTGTCTGTGTTTGTGTACATTTTAAAAATTCAGAAAGCTGAGACACTAGCCCTAGATGTTGTCCCTGAGGTGAGACACAGGACGCTTCAACTTCCTATTTTTCACTTTTTTTTTTTGGTTTGAAATCTTTACAAAGTGTATGTACTTTTATAGGCAGGGAAATAGCCAGTGTCTTTAAGCCTTATTTTCCTCATCTGTAAATAGGGACAATAACTACCTTGCAGAGTAGTAGTGATGATCTAATCATGATAGTAATAACGTGGGTGAAATGAATAGCCCGTCAGTAAAATAATTGTGGGTAAAATTAATACTACCCCCTCAGCAATGTGTGTTCCTTTCTTTCCTCTACTTGTGTGACTTTCTGCATTCATGGAAGTCAACTGAGAATCCTTACAGCCCTTGCCCACACCCTCCAAACCCAGCTCTATGGAAATTTAGCTCCAAAGGGATTCTGATTTGTACTAGAGAAATCAGGAAACAAAGAGCAATCCACAAAGAGCAAGAAAGACAAGGCAGAGACTTGTTTCACCCTCTCTGTCTGCTTTACCCATCCCCCAGACTACCAGCCTTTCTCCTCAAGAAAAGAAAAGACATGGCCTCCATGACTGCTGGAAACAACTCCTACCTTAAGTGGGGGCTCAGGCTATCAAAAGGAAATGCCAGTGGCAACTGCTAAAGCCTCTGGCACCAGGAAGTTTGCCAGTTAGATTTCCCTAAGGGCACCTGTAGTGTCTGCCACTGTTCCCACCTGCCCACCTCCACCTGCCCTGGCAATTCTCAGACCAAATTCTATAAAACCAGCTAATTTTCTGATCAGTGAAAGGCAGCAACTCTGAGCCTTAGCACAAGCCCTTTCTCTGCCTGGAATGTCTTCCCCCAGATAAGTACATAGCTAGCTTTTCCCCTCCAGGTGTTTGCTGAAATATCATCTTATCAGAAAGTCTCTCTTATGGCCCATACAAAATAGCAGTACCCTCATCTTTAGCATTCTTATACCCCTTGCCCTGCTATGACTTTCTCCATAGTTTTTATCACCATCTGACAAACTGGATATTTTACTCATTTAATTATCTGTCTTTTCCCCTCCTCACTAAATTAGAAGCTGCAGGAAAGCAGGATATTTTAGGTTGTTTGCTGCTGAATCCCCAGATCCTAAAGCAGTATCTAACTATAGTGGATGCTCAGTAAATATTTATTGAATGCCTAAATGAGGATAATTTCAGTGAAGATCCAGCCACTTTGAAGAACAGTTCTCTTAGAGGGAATATAAACTGTTGGATCACTCATATGTGTAGGCTTTGTGGGTGTCTGACCAGCATCCTGTCCAAAGCATTCCTTTCCCCCCATCTTCCCTGCAGACCTTTTTACTCACTCTTTAGAGATAACTGAGTTGTCTTTACATAACCAGAGAAAGTACTAGATTTTCCAGCTCTCATTCACTAGATCTGATTAGTTGTCCCGGTTAATTAATCTGTTACTGCTCATGTTCTGGTGCCTGCTACGAAAGTAGCAGGTAATATAGTTCATTTAAAAAAGCGCAGTGAGGGGGGCCTCCCTGGTGGCGCAGCGGTTGAGCGCTGGGTTGCGAAGCTGCCCGCGGCCTCTGCGGCGCCAGTTCGATCCCCAGCTGCTCCCCGGCCCCTGGAGGAGGGTCCCACATGGCGCCCAATGTCTCCAATGCCTACCGTAGTCCACTGGAAGTAGGTGCTTAATAACTGTCTGTTGAAACAGTGAGCAAGTGCATGAAGTCCTCACGATGGTACTACCTGGAATTCCAAGAACAGCACATCCATCTTTATTAGTTTTAGCCAGGAAATCTTTTCTTACCATGGGCAGTGCCATAAGGATGTCTGCACACATCTGAAAACTAGAAGTGGCCCTCCATAACTCAGCCAGCCAATCCTCCACCTTGTTTTAGAAGACATGTTAGTATTTAGTTCTCTGAAAATCAATGACATACAAGTTAAAATAAACACTCTTTTGCCTTTCACTTTTGCATTTTTTTAAAAAAAATCTATTGCCCATTATTGATAAATGTAAAATGAAATGAACATTCTCATAATGTTCCAGAATGAACTTCTTTTCTAGAGATGAATTTATAATTGATCAGTCCCCCCAAAATGTTGACTCTTGAATTCAATGATTTGACTTCTAAAATTTCCCTTCAAGAAATATAAAAATAACAAGATTCACATAATAGTGCACATTAATTGAAAGTTATAAGTAATTAAAGGCTATGGTGAGGTATCCTTCCGAGAACTTGGGAATAAAGAAACTGCCATTTCCTACTGAGCACTAAACAGCAAAATCAACTCAACATGGATCAGAAACCTAGGATGCAAAATCAATGGAAAGAGAGAAAAGCTACTAGATTCTCCAGACTTGACTGAGGGCATCAACTCACAAAATAAATGCTGTCAATGAGAAGAGGTATTCAACACAGACACACAACAGTCCAGAGTATCTGTAGGCAGAGCCCATGAACGTGCTCAAGTGCACTTCAGTTGGCAGATGTCCTGTAATCTGTCCTCTGTCAAGTCCATTCTCAAGAGCAGAAGGGAGAGTGAGACCATCCCAATATTGTGCCACTAGAGAGACCTCGTTTCCCTTTTCCTGGCTCCAAGTTCACCATGGGGCCATCTGGTTCCCCTAACACTTGACTACATGAAGAGTTCCCTTTCTCCTAAAAGGGAATTTCCAAGTATGACTGCCTTCCAAAATGTCATTTATGCCAATGCTACCACAAGCACTTCCATCTGGGAGACAGAGGAAAGAATGGCACGCCCTGAGGTCCCTGTGCACTGGAACTAGTATGAATCAGCCTTGCACAGCCTGCTTACGCCTGGGCACTGCAAAGGACCAGCTCCAGCTCATCAGTTTCTCACACCAGCTCCACCTGGAGGAGTCCGTAAGGATCTTCACAGGGAAAGAGAAATCTGAAGCAACAAAATGTTCATCATTAGGCCTAAATAATGGTATGCCAAACCATGTGATATTAAATGGTCATTAAAAATCTGGGATTTTCCCAAATATTTAATCACTAGAGAAATGAATCCTGTATGTGTTTAAAATATATGATTTAGGGCCTCCCCTGGTGGTGCTGGCAGTTGAGCACCGCACTGTGAAGCTGTCCGCAGCCCTGTAGCGCCGGTTCGATCCCAGCCAGCCAGCGAGGGTACCACATAGCAAAGCAGACCTCTCCTATCTCGCCCGCTGCTCCCCTCAGCAGTGTATTTTGGTCATTCTGCCTGTTCTATTCCCCGCTCTGTCTTTGGTGAATCCTCTCACCCTCCTGCACATCTGGCCTGTATCCTGGTTCTTGTATAAATAAAATAAATCTTAAACACACACACACACACACACACACACACACAAATATTTACAACTATTAGCTGGCTTTTGGTAGTAGGGGTGTTGGATTTGGAGGATAATTTCTGACATTGTCTTGTTTTTAGTAACTTTCAAATCTCTTACTATGGACACAATATTATTTTATGAACATAATGAGTATCTTGAAACAGCATTTGTCGTAACAACCATATCTTAGTGTCAACTCACACAAAGGATTTATCAGCTAACCCCCCAAAACTTAACTATAAACTACTGCTAAATTAGGAATTTATAGAACCCTGCATTTGTAGAAGGTTATAGAATTCTGTGTTTATACAAGCCAATCCTGTGTTTATATAAGTCAGTTTTGGAAACCAAATAGAGGACCTCATACATGAACTCTGGCAAGTTGCATTTTGCTTAGATCAGAAGGGCTCCTTCCAGGTCTTGAGATCCATGGATCTCATACCTGTGTAAGGTTCCTGCTGAGAACCAAGGTCTGTCTGTTTAGAGCTGACAGCACCCAAGACTGAAACCATGAACCACCTTCTCTCACACCACTGTGATCATATCCCTTGAGGCATGCTCAAATTAGTGTGAGAACATGCGTTTCCTCCACCCTTCCTTCCACCTTAGAAGACAGCAGAGTACTCCCTTGCTCAGGAAAGTAAATCTCCAATAATGGCATTAGACAGACAGTAGTGGGAATCCATAGTTTATGAGTCTATAAAATCATTCACTTTCACTGCTGGAACAAAGTTTCCTTGGTTAATAAGTAATACCACCTTGGCAAACATCAGTGCAGAACAGCATAGGGGAATACCGTCTCTGCTGTCACACTTCCTAAAAATCGACTCCTTTCCTCCAGCAAGTTGGCTTCCACCTTCTGCAACATCTGGGACTCCTCCTATCACCCCTTCCACCCTCCTGCCCCTCCTCTCTGCCCCACCCCCACCCCTTGGCTTGTCTGCCTTGACCCATCCTGATGTAAATCCTTCCTCTTTCAACACATCATTCTCTTCCTC